GGGGGGGGGGGGGGGGGGGAGGGTGGAACTTGGTCTGCAAGACAAAATGGCTTTACCAAGTAGTTCACAGAATTTAAGATGAAGAACTGCTGTGGATTAACACCAAGCTCCATGAGGCATGGAAACACATTAACTACAAAGCACTACAATACATTTTTCCTAAAGATAACGCATATCATCTTGAAAGTAAACAGAAACATTATGAATTATATGATGTTCTGCCTTGGACCACAGCAAAACAGTATACGGGGTAGGCATATGTCTGCTTGCTCTTCAGATATGCAAGGTCACTGGGTTATTCCAGAAGGAAACTAGGAGTAGGCCAGCATCTCTTGCATACAAGGGATGCTCAACCCCTGGACTGCAGGCCAGATTTGGTCCTTGATGCCATGTCATCTAGTCCATGGGGCTCCCTGTGGATCTGTGGGGAGCCCTGTGGTCTGTGCCTTGATTCCAGTGTGAGGGGACTGGGTAAGGGTAGCATGCAGTCCCCAGAGTCCGATCCTGGCCAAGTGGGGGCAGCATGGAGCCTTATCTGGCCAGTGAGGCCAAAAACACAAGCACCATTGTTTTGCACCATTACAAATGAATCCAAACATGTTTTCAAGAGGAAGCTATCATCTCTCTCCAGTTGGAGGCTTCAACAATAATGTTCCAAGACATTCTGGGCCGGCTGCCAAGGTAGTTTAGTAACATAACTCACCAGAGTTCCAACTTGACCCTTCTGCCATCCAGCAAGATAGTAGTGGTCTTGTAGTCAATTCCTGCAAGGAAGCCAACAAAAGCTGAGCAAACATTGAACAGGTCTTTAGAGACATACATATGCAAGCTACTTTCCCCTGGTTATTGCATTCTACTGTTCTGGGGTTCACAGAAGACACTCCTTTACCTGATGTACCATCTGGTACTTTGGGGGCACCTTGAATTAAAAGTGATCAAGGGAAGAACTTCATGCCAGAATGCAATGTGCTTTGATGCAACCCTTGTGCTCCCCTGCCCCACCACCGCTCTTTCCATTTAGTTGTATCCAGCTCTTCCAGTCTTGGAGAAAAACCTCTTGAGATTGCAGTTCTATGGAACATACTAGTTTGTGCCGTGACCCGAAGTGATAGTGCTAAAAATTTAGTATACGCTGTGGGCCAATTACCTAGAAAGAGTCAATGTTTTTATCAGAGGAACTTTAACTTATTTGGTCTGTAAAGTACAAGTCTCTTTAAATGAAGATGCAGCCCATCTTGCAACCTCCCCTGAGGGTATACCCTAGGGACTGATACCTAGAGGTTCAGGAGGATGATTCCATCAAGTACAGTCCCCTACATTCACAGACAAAGGATCTGATCCCCCAAAGTTACCACTGCAATCCCCTCCCTCCCCCCGCCCCATAATTCATGCCAATCTGACCTAGAGCAAAAATTCCTTCCTGAATCAAAATTAAGTATTCAGTGTGACCCCCATGTCATAAGACCCCTAGTCATAAACTTCTGAGTTTGCCAAGTACCATCAGAAGCATCAGTGCACCCACTCAACCCCCCTACACACACAAGCTTAACTGTGGTAACATCTCACTGCCTCAGAGGAAGGCAAAAGAAGCCCCCAGACATCAGAGTATTCATTGTGGGGGAAGGGGGGGAGGGGGAAGATTGCTTTTTGGACCCAACAAGGGGCCAGCAAAAGCCCTAAGACACAGGACTACCAAACAGCTTCCACTTTACAAGTACTAACTTTATCCCCCAACCTTGGGGGATCTAGCTTTACCAGCGGGACTGATTCCATGTTTCCTAGTACATGAGACTGGAACATGCAACAGGACTGACACTTATGAGCAAGGTACATCTGCCACAGCAGTTGTCTTTAAGTAAAACATCTCACTTTGGCAGCAAGGAGGCATCTGCTTCAGTGCTACTGTGTTAGAAGAGTCAGTTACTCTCTCTTCATTGTCTGTGCTGCTGACTGGTAGAAATGGTAAAGCCATTCAAAGCATTCGAAACATTTCACAACTTCAAGTCAGTGAGCTTCAGAACCACGCACTAAAACAAAAGTCCCGAAACTTCATCTGCTCTGTCTGCCATGAAGCCAAAAATATGCTGCTTACCTCAAGGCTTTGTTTTCACGGAGAATGTGGTTCTAGGAAGTACATACCAAGGTCTGGTAAGAGTGCAAGTGTCCAAGAGTTAAAACCAGAGAGTGAGGGCTAATATAAGAAAAAACACAGCTTCATGTAGCATTTGATCTTCACTTGCAAAACTTGCCTCAAGCCTTCAGCAGAGCTATTTAAATGACCTTTCTGTTTTAAGGAATTTTAGATGGGAGCTCCACTCAAAGTTATGTTTTTTCAGATTCTGGTGAAAAATTGGGTTTACAGACTTTGCCTAGGGGGGTGGTAATACTATTTCACCCGCCTGCTCCTTATTTAAAAGGTTTTGAAAATTCATTAAGGGCTTGTTGCCAAATTAATATCAAGCCTGGAACATTTGCTTAAACAAGGGTCAACAACCTATGGCCCACAGGCTGGATCTGGCCCATGAAGCTAGAGGACTTCAGTAACGTTTTAGCAGAGAGGGGTTTTGGGTGGCAGCAGCACTGTGGGGATCAGGGGGATGGAAGTGGTAACTGCAGCTGCAGTTCTGGGGATACAGGCCATGCTGGAAGCACTTGCTCAGTGCCAAGCTCTGTTAAAGCAGCCCCTAACACCCCAAGCTACAAACAATTGCCGACTCAGACTTAAACTGTAAACAGCTCAGTTACTTGAAAAGCAAAAGTTCTTGGGTCTAAAGGTGAATCATAAGCTGTGTAAACCACATGGGTCAAATAGAGCAGAGCAATGTTTGAGGAAGGATCAGTCAAAGCACAAGGTCATTTAAAGTCTTGCTAAGTGTGAACCACAAGTCCACTGAGCTCCAGTGTTCAAACAGCACCAAAAATACCAACAAAAGATGCTGATGTTTGGAACCGCAACTCAATTGCCAACACCACCTCAAAAGTGTTCGAGACCTCTGCAAAACAAAGATGATGCCGAGATCAGGAAGCTAGTTTACCTGTTGGCTCTTTCAGTTTTAGAGGAAGCAGGATCCCTTTCCAGAAGCATCTGGATTTATAAGGGCTTCATCACACCCTGATAGGTTGGCCCTTTTTAAGATGTCCAATTTGCAAGTCACTGCACAGAACACAGGAGAAAAAGTATGAACCAGCCCCCAACATGCCAGCTGGCCTCAGGAATGGGGAAAAGCAGTTGGCAGCTTCTCAGTGCTGCGTTTAAGGAGACTCAAGTGTAGAAAAGTGGGTTGGTTAGTAGACTAAGCACGTCCCACCTCCATTCTCCACTTACTGTAACACTTGAACAGGGTTTAACTGCATGCAGGAGTGGCAGCCCTCAGATGAAGCTTTCCATGCTGGGGTAGCATGGAGAAAGGGGCCAACCTTTACTTCCTGCCTCTGAGGGCACTTAGGTCTGGAATCTAAACAAATGGCTGTTGTGTTACCAAGTATTTACTCTCTTCTACCACAAAATCCTGCCCTAATAATCTGCTAATACACAATTTTGTCAATAAAGCAAATGGATTTCATCCTGAACCATTAACAGGGGATGTCTGCTACTGGAAAAAAAAAAAAGTTAGATTTAAGCCTTGATGGGGTGCTATAAAAGCCATGATGATAATTATCTTTAGTTCCAACTATTTCCAGTAGTTAGTCAGATAAAGCAGGCAGTTTACATCTTATCTTCATCCACCACGACCTAACGATCGCACTTACTTCCCTATTAGTAACTCTCTCTAAACTTCCAATCCCAGCTACCCACGCCTGGTTGCAGTCCCACTTCACTGAGAGAGTTTGCTTCTCCATAAAGAGGAAAAAGCTGCAGAAGGAATCAAATAAACCCCTCCCCCGCCACACACATCTTTAATTCTGACCACTCAAGACCCAGGATTACTACGCAGGATATAGTCTGCTGGGAAATGAGGCTAATTAAAAATCCCCCTGTGCCCTCCCCCCCTCCAGTCTCTGTTCTGTTGAGGTGCCATCCTGCTTCGTGTGCAGGAATTCCCTGCGCCCACAAAGCACTGGGATGGAAAGCTCTTTATTAGGGTTACCGTACATCTGGGTTTTCCCAAACATGTCTTCTTTTTGGGTCCTCCCATCTCCGTCTGGGCAGTTTTTTAAAATACAGTAATCATCAAGTGTCGAGGATTTTGCTCTGCTCAGTACTGAAGTTTTTCCCAGCACTTCTCAGTTTGCCCTAGCAAGGAGCTGCTTGGGGCTGGGGGGGAAGGTGATTGGAGGTAGGGGGCATCATGCAAGTCTGTGCATGCATGTGGCTGGCATGTAGCTGGCCAGGGTGGTAGGACCAGCCCAAGCAGCTGCATGCAGGTAAGTCTATGGAGGGCAAGGGTTGGAGGGCCAGGGTGCCTGCCAGCATTTGGGGAAGCTGTCTGGGCACTGGGGCTGCAGCAAGTCAGGGGAGGTGTCTGCCTCTCCAGTGAGGGAAGGAGGGCTCTTTGGAGGCAGCAGGAAGCTGCGCGGCCAGCCTGGCAGCACTGGGGCCAGCACCTGTGCTCAGGCTGGGGGGAGCAGGAGGCTGCAGGTTGCGAGTGAGGGGCACTGGCAAGGCTGGGGACTGGGTCAGGAGCATGGGGCACGGGCAGTGCCAGGAGACTGCTGGGAGCAAAGGGTATCAGCAGGGATTAGGGGGCTGCAGGTTGGGAGTGAACGGCACCAGCATAGTCTGGGGTGGGCGGGGGGATACTGTGGGTCAGGAATGAGAGGCAGCAGCAGGGCTGGGGGGTCTGTGGCTTGACGGTAAGGGGCAGGGGAAGGACATGGGCATATCACTGCCCCCCAATCATATTACCACCCCTCCCACCCCCACAGGTGCCCTCTTTTTGGAACCAAGAGTTCTAATTTTTTGTATGTTCAAAAAAAAGCCCAAAAAACAACCAACTCTTTTTTTGAAGTGAGAAATATGGTAACCCTATCTTTACAGCATTCAATCACACTGGGCAAGTGCTAAGCCAAGATGCCTACAGAGAATAGCAACAATATTCTTAGGGGTGAAAAAGTCACACATTTCCAGGGTACCACTAATTACTTGGCTATTGTTCCTTGTACACCCAGCAGTGCTCAATTGGCTCAACAAGAGGTAGACTCAAACATACAAGCTACAAAACCACAAGCCCACTAAAGACAGGAAAAGCTCCATGGAACCTCTGCTTTCACAAAGCCTCCTACTCCACACATGAAACATTCTGAAAAGGCATCAGTTTCCCTGTTGTGAAGTTTTGCAAGTTAGTCATAGCAGTAATGGGTTGATGTAGTGCTATATGAAAATACACTTTGCAATTTAAATGAAAGCTAGATAGAGGGTCTTTGGGCCTGGTCACATACAGCAAGGGGGAAACATCTCTAATGGGTTTGAGTTTAACCAGTAGTATCTGGCACCCATGCTGCAGAAATTGGAGCATTATAGATGCCTAGAGAGACTTGGGGGTGGGGGGTGCTTATAAATTAAACCCCTCCAGCAGGCGTCTAGCCTCACCTCAGACCAGGAACTGAAAGAGCAGATCATTGTAGAGGTACACCAGCAGCAGCTTGGAGCACCTGTCCCCCACTGCAGCCAGACTGCAGTCTCCTGCATTAAAATGTGAGACGAAAGGAGGTGATGCCTAACAGGGATCTAGCCTGGTTAACCATGCAACATTCTCCCAAGACCATCCCAGAACAGAACCTGATCAGACATTAAAATGTTTCATCTCAATTAGGAAACTGAGCT